TTATTTCCCACAAGCTCCATGTCCTTGATGTCTTAGCCAAACTTCAATTGACTTCGGGGCACAGTTTATCTCAGTGGCAGATGGATCAAGTTGTTCATTGGAGCCCGTCATTGAATTAGGGATAGTCTAACTTATTTTTCATTCTTACTCTATACACCAACAACTTAATGACTCATTAGCTTTCGCTAACAACATGTTTTGTGTTTATCTGACCTTTAGACTTCTTTCAGTTCCCCACGACTCTTTTCAGCCAAGTGTTATCTTTGTAATGACCTTCTCAAGAAAGTGGAAAACAATATCATGCACAAATTTAGTGATATCAAATGACAGTTTGCTTGCTGCAGTGTTTTCTTCTCCCCGTCTTTGTCTTTTCGCACAAAAGCAGGTCAATAGGATTTCCCTGGCGTCTTCCTGTGATAGAGGCACCATCTCTGTGGACAGCTCAACACACTGATTAACCAAGCTTACCAGCACTCCACATTTCAATTCCTCTCATAATAATCCCTGTCTTGCTGCCTCCAAGTCTGTTCATATTTGTAAAAGGAGATGATGTCATGAACTACTTGCTATTTACATATAAAGTCAATATACAATCATAACTACATATATTCTGCAACCCTGTCTCCTAAAAATGACGTTGCATTTTGCATTTGCGTTAAAAGCTACGTCACAGATCAGCCCTTGCAAAAACAGGGCTGGAAAAAAGACAAAATAGAGCGAAATGAGGCATGGCTAAAATTGAATGATCTGTTTGGTATTTGAAAAAAAAAAACTTCACAGAGTCATGTTATATATAGGTATGGCCTACAATATCATTATTCAAATATAGCATGATAGGTCCACTTTAAATTAAAATCTGTTGGCGAGCCTTCATTTTGCCAGTGTTACTCTGCCATGAGCGAGGCAGGAAAATAATAGTTGTATCATGCCAAAAGCTGCTGTGTCGTTTATTGCACCTTCAAACATTAAAACAAATCCAGAGTTACGTTACGTTTACTCCTCTAAGAAGAAAGGACGTAAAAGCTTTTCTATTTATTCTAAGGTAAATTACATGCCAGTGTTTTATCTTTTTATTTTAGCGATTTGTTTTTGCATGTTTAACTGGAACTGTTTTTCATGTTGAACCGAAGTACTTTACTTCACTTCGTCTTCTTCGTCCCTTTTATTTCCAGACAATGCAATGGCTCAGCGTAACGATGACAGAACAGCGGACCCCCAGTGTTCTACATTGGAAGTTCATCTTCATTACTGAAGGAAAATACTTTTACCAGTGGTTTTGTTAAACTGGGTTTTTAATTCAGTCGGCTTTTTCTTAATGGTTAAAGATGATTGCTATGAGTTTGGGGGGGGTGGGGGGGGTGGGTGGGGTGTGGGGGGGGGGGGGGTTTATATCTGAAGCAAATTATGTTCTGAAGATGTGTAGTCCAAAAAAGAGTACTTATAGTGAAAAACCACCCCTTGAATGATGGATGGTAGATCTGAAAACTTTAGGAGATCCAAACTACAACATATAATAAGGTACGCCCTGTATCAAAGATTGGATGGGCGAAAACAAGTGACATTTCACCGTTTTTAGAGAGATTTATTCAAAAAAAGAAATTCACTTCTGGTGGCATTTGGGTGGATTTCATCTATCTCTGGCCCCCTTGTTCGATTTTGATGATTGACATCTCGTTCTAAACCATCAGAGCCAATGGAATCGAGGGGAACTCCCCATACTCCTTATTTGGTAATGTGGGGGGCGTCGTGTGTGTGTGAGACTGGACGCGATAGCCAGACCGGAAGCTGCGCGGGGGGGGATACTCTGGTGGGCTACCATTAGCAGTAACGTTGGCGCGATTTTTACATAAAAAGGGGAATTAGGGATTATAAGAGTGTAAAAAGATTATTACCCAGAAACATTATCAACCTATGGATTATACCGATTCAGCCACGTTTTTGTCATTTTAAGCCAGAATTGAGACAAGTCTTGTTGATCAGATGACACACGGTGAGATGATCTCCCGTAAGAAGCTCCGTAAAGAGCGGTGATTGCGTCTGTGTTTGCTTCCGCCTGTCAAGAGTTTGGTATCATCTCAGTGATGAGTATGTATACAGGATGAGCGCATTCATTCAGACAGTTTGAAACGCGAGGGCCGTGATTGGTACGTGATCTGCCCGTCGCTCAAGGGAAAACCTCCAGCGTTGGACTTGAAACTCGCCCGCGTGATAGTATAAATAATGTATAATGAAGCCAGCTGCAGATGGACATTGATCCAGGCCAGGGTGGCAGTGGGGTTCCACACTGAGCTCATTTGAGAATAAGTCATGAATACAGTACGCTGGGATGTACAGCGGGATACTTTGTTAGATCCATATGTCACGAGTTACATGACTCTGTGCTAAAAAGAGACATTGTAGATCATTTAGCAAAAACAATCACCATTGTTATTTAACAACAATAATGTTGTTTTGTTGAAAAAAAGCGAACAGGAGAAATGCAGCCCGGCTCTCGATTGGTTAATCCTAATTTAATCATCATCTTCACCACGAGCATTTATGTTTATGTTCGGCCGAATTGAACATGAAATCACTGGGAGCACATATGAATATTACTGTATTCAACTTCATTAAAACGTTATTAACTTGCCAAACCAGTATTCACTAAAAAGTATTTAGTATTTTTAATGGAGCCTCGTCGGCAGACTCAGGATCCCAATGGCGCAGGGAGGGATTTTGGGTCTGCACGACGGTGGTTGTTTCCCCATAAGGTAATCATAGTCGCTGGGCAAATTATCCCGGCTTATTACATGGCTGCATCTCAACAAGAGTAACGACATGACTCCGCAATATAATGCTAAATCTTTATGGTATTTAGAAAATTTTTTATATTTAAAAAATAGTTGTATGTATTGATTAAATTGACATGCATCCGCTAAGAAAAATAGTCCGTTGTACCGTTTTTATTTTTTAAACAGTTGAATGAAAACCGGCAGGCTCTCTCCCCCTCCCCCGCTGATCTTTCTTCTCCAGCAAGCTAAATTAACTGTAGGTTACTCTGAGTACCATAGACTGTATGTGACAAGCTTACAGTTGAGGACGGGGAGACAGTACAGCCAAGAAAGCGTG